TGCAAATAATTTGATGTATCGCCTTATCACGTCTTCGAGATGTCTCAAAGCACTTCACAGAATATACTGTAAAGTGAATTGACTGTATATTTTGTGGGCGAAAGCGGCAGCCAATTGCGCACAGCAATTGAATTGAGTGATCAAATTATTATTTACTGGGTTATTATTTAATTTATTTTATTAGTAGTTATTATTATTGAATATTGGGTCCCCACTGTTGTTTGCTGAATTCACATTTACAAATCCTTGTAATGCAACTCCACGCAGGTTTAATATCGTATTTTCCATCTTAATCATTTTCATTTTTGATTAACTTTGTTTTTCGGGGGGACATCTTTACAGAAAAACTCTGCAAATCACTGTACGGGGGCGAATTATCCAAATCCCAGGGGCCGCCTCACCACGACGAGTGGAAACCACTGCTGCTGATCATACCTCTACGCATGGGAATCAACCACATCAATCCCGTCTACATCAACACGCTGAAGGCAAGTCCAGGGCGCAGCAAGGAGGCATGAGCACTCTCAGCCTAGAGTTACTTAACGGGAGTGATTTCTGATTATTATCAGAGCTGTGATCATGAGGCTCTACCCAGAGCCTCAGTAGCACTCGTAGCCCAGGGTTCCAATGTTCTAATAACTCATGCTGTGTGAGTAAATGTTCCTCTTGTTTTCCTCCTCAGCACTTCCAGTGAAATCCTGAGTTTATGTCCTCATGTTACTGATTCACCAAGTGGTGGGAATGTGTTAAGTGCAGTGATGGACTCCTGTCTTGCCTTCTCATACTACTATCACAGCTATTTAACAGCCCAGGGCAGCTGCTTAGCAACAGATTGATTTAAAAATAACTCTTGTCTAACACTCGTCTTCTTTTCTCTGCTAGGAATGCTTTAAGATGCCACAATCTTTAGGAGTCTTGGGAGGAAAACCAAACAATGCGTATTACTTCATAGGATTTATTGGTAAGAGACTGGAGTAATTAGCGAACTGCTCTCTTCAGTGTGTAACAGTGGTGAGGGATACCACAGTAATTTGTGTTCCATGTCTAAACATGACATCCACTTATATCCAGATTTTATCTATGGAAGGGAGGGACAGATTGTAGACTGTGTCTGTGTGTACAGGCTGTATGGATTGTGTGTAAGTGTCAGCCTGGCTCAGTTGGTGGTGCTTTCATCTCTGGGTCAGGCAGTTGTAGATTCAGCTCCATGTGAGTATTTTAAGTTTATGTCCCGGCTGATACTTCGGTGCAGTACTGGGCAAATGCTGCATTGTTGGAGGTGTCGTCCTTCGAATGAAACCTTAAACTGAGGTCTCTTCTGTCTGTTTGTGTGGATCTTAAAGATTCAAGGGTACTATTGTATTTTTTCCATGTTATCTGTCCAACAGTCCTTGACAGTAATTGCTGTGAAGTATGTTTGTCATGATATGTCTCTGTATAAATGCAAGTTCTTTGTTTTGCATCAGAATTATATAATATGAAGGTAGTTGAATGGGATTTATTCCACCTGCTGTTAAAATTTGGTGCTCTGTGTATATTTGAGCTGTTCTCTGCCGTCTATACAGGAGATGAACTAATCTATTTAGACCCTCACTCGACGCAGGCTGCAGTGGACACAGAGGAGGACGGGAGTGTGGATGATCATAGTTATCACTGCCAGCGGGTGCCACATCGTATGAAGATCACCCAACTGGACCCCTCAGTGGCTTTGGTGAGCAACAGCAGCAAGCAGCACCCTGTGTGCCCTCTCAGCTTAGCCCAGCCCTGCCAGCATTGTGTTTGTGAGCAGCTGTGAAAGTTTATTTGAGGCAGTTATCTCTTCATTTTACCCAGCTTCCGCAATTGGTTCACGTTTGCATCCCTGGCAAAGAACCAATTCATTCACAGTGTAATTACACCTCCCCTGGGCAAAGCTACAGATTACAATTACAGACATGTTTTTGGTTAAGTGTATTCTGTGTTGGAAGAGGAAAACAGGATGCAGATGTATAACCTCTGAGTTGGACACTTGCACAGATCGTTTTGCAACATTCATCCAGGTGGTGCTATTAACATGGAAAAATCTGGAGAATTTGTGTCTGGGCGATAACAGGCAAACCACACTTTTCTCTCAGCCTAACCCAGGACCCGAGGCCTCATTAGAACTTGTGCAGATCTTAAATAAAATCCTGCGAAGAACACTTTTATATTAATTTCTTGGATATTAATGGAGATGTTCTCACAGCGAGGTGATCGAATCTGGAATGCATTGCCTGAACGGGTGGTGGAAGCTGATTTGATAACCACTTTTAAGAGAAGTAGATAATTTTGGGGGGAGAATATGTATAATTCTATGATTCTAGACCCAGTGGAGTTCCAGATCTCTGCTCAGACAGATTCTCATGGCACGTGTTTCTGTTTGCAGGGATTTTTTTGCTACACTGAAAAAGACTTTGAAAGCTGGTGCAGTCTTGTGCAGAAGGTAGGAATGAAAGATTCTCTTGTGTGGTCTGATTTAAATCTCGTTTCCTCTTTTCTGAATGAAACACTGCTTGGAATCTGCAGGGTCCATGTTTGTTCCCTCTTTGCAGTCTGAGTTAGCAAGGACTCAGCCGATCGAATTCCTCATTCTTGCTTTTGAATCCCTCCGTGGCCTACCCACCCCCCACCACACACTACCTCTAAATGTCGGCCTGGCTCTTTAAAGACCAACTCTTTCTCCCAACCCAGCATGTTCTGATTGTATTGTTTGCATCACTCCACCCTGCTGCAAACTTGAATATATTTCTTTATACATCAAGTTCTGATGACATTCTCGGAGCACGGAGCCTGCAGGGGTTATTGAGTCCGCCAGCTGTTGTAGCTGAGTGAACATCAGCAGAGGTGTGTCCATTATCCCTCAGTGTGTTTCAGTGATCGTATGTTTATTCAGTTCCCCCGTACTGTACCGGTCTCAGCCAATGTCTAAACATGAATATTAATAAAATACTGATCTTTACCATATCAAATCCCAAATGTGTGCTGACATTTTAACAATCAGTATCAGATAGATTCAGTGTCATTGCTCCTGGGTTAATATGGATCTTATCAGCAGTGAATCGACCATTTTGACCTGGACTGCATCCTGACTCAGTTGGCAGCAATCTAGCATCTGGGTTGCATCAGGATTTTGAACTCTCAGTCGAGGCTGATATTCCAGTAAAGTGCAGGGGGAGTGCTGCATTGTCGGTTGAGCCATTAAACTGAGATCCCGTATGTTTGTTCAGATGGACGTTAGAGATCCCACTGAAATATTTAAATAAAACTGAAGGAAATCAAGTGTCATTAGCCAATGATTCTCAAGATAATAAATTGGTCATTCACTTCATGACTGTTTGTGACGCATTACAAATTGGATGCTGCATTCGCCTGTAAATATACTGTCACTCATTTAACAGTAAATTCTATGAAGCATTTTGAGTTGTGGTAAAGCGCTAGATCAAATTGCAAGGATTATTATTTGGAGAATTGATGCTGGATTCCAACCCATTTCCTTGCAATTTAAAGGACCTGTTCCTGGCCACTGTGCTACTGGGATACTTTTATCAAGAGATGCTGCTTACTCTGGTTTTGAATCGCTTGTCAGTACTGGCTTGATGACTGACTGTATGGGAACTGTTGTGTGTTTTTCTAAGTCACCCTTTATTATAAATGCCACCTTCCAGCTTTCCCCTCCCACATCCCCCTTGAATGAGACTTTAAACCAAGGTTCCCCTCCCATCTATGGGCTGCATGTTAAAGATTCCACAACAGTATTCGAGAAGAGTCGCTATCAGTGTTGTGGTAAACAGTGCCCTGATACATTGAGTTACTTTTACTTTAAATAATTTACTTCGTGGCTGTTTGTAGGACTTTGCTGTGCACACAATGTGCCCTCAATTGCCCAGACCCTACACTTAATTACTTGTGAAGTGCTACGAGGTGTTATGTCATTCTACATTGATATTACACGTAATACTATTAATATCAAAAGTGTTAGATCAAACAGAGGAGAGATTTCCCCCTCCCCCCATTGCAAATAGTCATCAACCAATAGTACAATTCCTTAATCCAACAATAGACAGAATTTACTTCTCTTGGGACAGAAACTCGAACAGTAAAAGGAGACAATGTGTATCTTTGCTACAGGCAATATTTAATACAAATTAAACAGGAATACATGAGGCAAAAGGCATACATGAGGGTGAAGGGTGTAGAGGAATGTTGAGGGTCTTTAGCATAATCATCTACAAAGCTAACAGGAAAGCTGATCCTTCTCACAATGAATCCTGAAAGTATCTTGGAATAATACTGGTAGAATAGAAATGGAGAGGATCTGGCACATTGTGCCCTATATGCCAATAACCAAGCCAACTGAGTAAAGAGTAAATAAGCTTAAATACAGACATCCCCTTTACACTTCACATCTACATGTCCTGGATTCCATTCCTTTATCTCTCGACCCTGTGAAATCACCCAGTGGCTGACACCAACCTTCAATCGAAGTCAGTGTAACTGTGCGACACTTGCATTGTGGCAACTGGTCCAACTGTCGGGAGATTCCCGCACCCTCACCCCCTCCCTACACCCCGATACCATTCACACCAGGTGCTCTTGGTAAGTGGGCACTTGGCCGCTGGAAATGAAAAGTGTATCTATTCTCTGCCCAAAGCTGTTCTCACCACTTTTGTCACCTCGAGCTCCGTGGCACATAAACAGCTGGGCCACCAATTCCTTTGGAATTGCCAGAGCAGGGAGGCCAGGGTAAGCAATTCGGGTGTTGTGGAGTTTTGACATTTGTTAACAAGACAGACGTCACACTCGTTGGTGAGAGATTAAAGAATATCTTTCCCTTTCCTCCCCTCTTCCCTCTACCTATTGCCCCTGGGCTTAGTTCAGGAAACTCCACAAAGTGCAGTCTGACTTTTAACCTTCCGCTATCCTCCTCAGCTGCAAGCCGAGACCACCTTTAGCAACTTGCAGAGGGGTCTTTTCCTCCTTATTCTCAATGTAAATACTGGCTCCCTTTTCCACCAGCAGTTGGGCTTCCTCAGATCTCTCTTCATCACACGCCAAGTGCCTGGGAACAGAAGGCAAATCAAACCATGGTCAGGGTGCAATGGGGGAGAAAGCTCAATCATGATTTTAAAAACAACAGTGTACAAGTGTAACCCCACAACATGCGCGATGTCAACCCTAGAGATAAACTAGTCCACTCAACACACTGGATAATGAGCAAGAGTGGATTGTCCCTCAGCTTCATGTTCCTCTCTTGTCAATGTTTCTCCACCAATTTGATGTATCGCCTTATCACGTCTTCGAGATGTCTCAAAGCACTTCACAGAATATACTGTAAAGTGAATTGACTGTATATTTTGTGGGCGAAAGCGGCAGCCAATTGCGCACAGCAATTGAATTGAGTGATCAAATTATTATTTACTGGGTTATTATTTAATTTATTTTATTAGTAGTTATTATTATTGAATATTGGGTCCCCACTGTTGTTTGCTGAATTCACATTTACAAATCCTTGTAATGCAACTCCACGCAGGTTTAATATCGTATTTTCCATCTTAATCATTTTCATTTTTGATTAACTTTGTTTTTCGGGGGGACATCTTTACAGAAAAACTCTGCAAATCACTGTACGGGGGCGAATTATCCAAATCCCAGGGGCCGCCTCACCACGACGAGTGGAAACCACTGCTGCTGATCATACCTCTACGCATGGGAATCAACCACATCAATCCCGTCTACATCAACACGCTGAAGGCAAGTCCAGGGCGCAGCAAGGAGGCATGAGCACTCTCAGCCTAGAGTTACTTAACGGGAGTGATTTCTGATTATTATCAGAGCTGTGATCATGAGGCTCTACCCAGAGCCTCAGTAGCACTCGTAGCCCAGGGTTCCAATGTTCTAATAACTCATGCTGTGTGAGTAAATGTTCCTCTTGTTTTCCTCCTCAGCACTTCCAGTGAAATCCTGAGTTTATGTCCTCATGTTACTGATTCACCAAGTGGTGGGAATGTGTTAAGTGCAGTGATGGACTCCTGTCTTGCCTTCTCATACTACTATCACAGCTGTATTTAACAGCCCAGGGCAGCTGCTTAGCAACAGATTGATTTAAAAATAACTCTTGTCTAACACTCGTCTTCTTTTCTCTGCTAGGAATGCTTTAAGATGCCACAATCTTTAGGAGTCTTGGGAGGAAAACCAAACAATGCGTATTACTTCATAGGATTTATTGGTAAGAGACTGGAGTAATTAGCGAACTGCTCTCTTCAGTGTGTAACAGTGGTGAGGGATACCACAGTAATTTGTGTTCCATGTCTAAACATGACATCCACTTATATCCAGATTTTATCTATGGAAGGGAGGGACAGGATTGTAGACTGTGTCTGTGTGTACAGGCTGTATGGATTGTGTGTAAGTGTCAGCCTGGCTCAGTTGGTGGTGCTTTCATCTCTGGGTCAGGCAGTTGTAGATTCAGCTCCATGTGAGTATTTTAAGTTTATGTCCCGGCTGATACTTCGGTGCAGTACTGGGCAAATGCTGCATTGTTGGAGGTGTCGTCCTTCGAATGAAACCTTAAACTGAGGTCTCTTCTGTCTGTTTGTGTGGATCTTAAAGATTCAAGGGTACTATTGTATTTTTTCCATGTTATCTGTCCAACAGTCCTTGACAGTAATTGCTGTGAAGTATGTTTGTCATGATATGTCTCTGTATAAATGCAAGTTCTTTGTTTTGCATCAGAATTATACAATATGAAGGTAGTTGAATGGGATTTATTCCACCTGCTGTTAAAATTTGGTGCTCTGTGTATATTTGAGCTGTTCTCTGCCGTCTATACAGGAGATGAACTAATCTATTTAGACCCTCACTCGACGCAGGCTGCAGTGGACACAGAGGAGGACGGGAGTGTGGATGATCATAGTTATCACTGCCAGCGGGTGCCACATCGTATGAAGATCACCCAACTGGACCCCTCAGTGGCTTTGGTGAGCAACAGCAGCAAGCAGCACCCTGTGTGCCCTCTCAGCTTAGCCCAGCCCTGCCAGCATTGTGTTTGTGAGCAGCTGTGAAAGTTTATTTGAGGCAGTTATCTCTTCATTTTACCCAGCTTCCGCAATTGGTTCACGTTTGCATCCCTGGCAAAGAACCAATTCATTCACAGTGTAATTACACCTCCCCTGGGCAAAGCTACAGATTACAATTACAGACATGTTTTTGGTTAAGTGTAATTCTGTGTTGGAAGAGGAAAACAGGATGCAGATGTATAACCTCTGAGTTGGACACTTGCACAGATCGTTTTGCAACATTCATCCAGGTGGTGCTATTAACATGGAAAAATCTGGAGAATTTGTGTCTGGGCGATAACAGGCAAACCACACTTTTCTCTCAGCCTAACCCAGGACCCGAGGCCTCATTAGAACTTGTGCAGATCTTAAATAAAATCCTGCGAAGAACACTTTTATATTAATTTCTTGGATATTAATGGAGATGTTCTCACAGCGAGGTGATCGAATCTGGAATGCATTGCCTGAACGGGTGGTGGAAGCTGATTTGATAACCACTTTTAAGAGAAGTAGATAATTTTGGGGGGAGAATATGTATAATTCTATGATTCTAGACCCAGTGGAGTTCCAGATCTCTGCTCAGACAGATTCTCATGGCACGTGTTTCTGTTTGCAGGGATTTTTTTGCTACACTGAAAAAGACTTTGAAAGCTGGTGCAGTCTTGTGCAGAAGGTAGGAATGAAAGATTCTCTTGTGTGGTCTGATTTAAATCTCGTTTCCTCTTTTCTGAATGAAACACTGCTTGGAATCTGCAGGGTCCATGTTTGTTCCCTCTTTGCAGTCTGAGTTAGCAAGGACTCAGCCGATCGAATTCCTCATTCTTGCTTTTGAATCCCTCCGTGGCCTACCCACCCCCCACCACACACTACCTCTAAATGTCGGCCTGGCTCTTTAAAGACCAACTCTTTCTCCCAACCCAGCATGTTCTGATTGTATTGTTTGCATCACTCCACCCTGCTGCAAACTTGAATATATTTCTTTATACATCAAGTTCTGATGACATTCTCGGAGCACGGAGCCTGCAGGGGTTATTGAGTCCGCCAGCTGTTGTAGCTGAGTGAACATCAGCAGAGGTGTGTCCATTATCCCTCAGTGTGTTTCAGTGATCGTATGTTTATTCAGTTCCCCCGTACTGTACCGGTCTCAGCCAATGTCTAAACATGAATATTAATAAAATACTGATCTTTACCATATCAAATCCCAAATGTGTGCTGACATTTTAACAATCAGTATCAGATAGATTCAGTGTCATTGCTCCTGGGTTAATATGGATCTTATCAGCAGTGAATCGACCATTTTGACCTGGACTGCATCCTGACTCAGTTGGCAGCAATCTAGCATCTGGGTTGCATCAGGATTTTGAACTCTCAGTCGAGGCTGATATTCCAGTAAAGTGCAGGGGAGTGCTGCATTGTCGGTTGAGCCATTAAACTGAGATCCCGTATGTTTGTTCTGATGTTCGTTAGAGATCCCACTGAAATATTTAAATAAAACTGAAGGAAATCAAGTGTCATTAGCCAATGATTCTCAAGATAATAAATTGGTCATTCACTTCATGACTGTTTGTGACGCATTACAAATTGGATGCTGCATTCGCCTGTAAATATACTGTCACTCATTTAACAGTAAATTCTATGAAGCATTTTGAGTTGTGGTAAAGCGCTAGATCAAATTGCAAGGATTATTATTTGGAGAATTGATGCTGGATTCCAACCCATTTCCTTGCAATTTAAAGGACCTGTTCCTGGCCACTGTGCTACTGGGATACTTTTATCAAGAGATGCTGCTTACTCTGGTTTTGAATCGCTTGTCAGTACTGGCTTGATGACTGACTGTATGGGAATGTGTCAAACTGCAGGAAATTCTGAGGACGCGGAGTTTCCGGATGTTCGAGCTGGTTGAGAAGCATCCTTCACACTGGCCTCCATTTGTACCTGCAACCAAGCCTGAAGTGCACACTACAGGAGCAGGTGAGGGTCAGGGCAGGGCTGTGACCCTGGGATCATTAGCACTAGAGACCCTTTGATTCCAAAAATCTTTCTTTAATTCCATTAATCCACTTGTGTTTTTCCCAGAGTTCATTGAACCAGCTGACAAACTGTTTGAATCTGAGGAAGAGTTTGAAATTCTGAACATCTAAAGCTTCCCAGAGGGTGGAACCTCATCTCATCGTTGCTTCTCAGTTCAGCGCTGCTGTGGAGTGACTGCAGTATGAGGCGCTGGAGCACTTCATCTCCAGCAGCTTTCCTAACCAGACCTGTGCCTGAATCCGTAGGGACATCAGAATTCCGCAGCCAGCACAGCCGAAGATAATGAGCTATCTCTAACTTAATGAGCAATGGCGCTGAAAGCGTTAACTTTCCCCCTTCCTCCCTTCCCCGCCAAGTAACGGGTCTGCTTTTGGGCAGAAGGGGGCAAGACGGACATTCTCTAAAAAGCGAGTGCTCTTCATCCGCTGGGAGAGTAACAGCAAGTTATTGAGAGGAGTTTGCACGGAGCAGGTCAGCAACGACAGGAAGTGACATGAACTTTTGACGCTGATTCATCGCTCTGTGACATCCCTCCTGGAGGGGAGTGGGCTCTGCGCTCGGCACTGCTAAATGCTGTCAGTCTGTGGAGCCGTCTCGGGCTCAAACACGTCAGGTTCTTAATCTGCCCGAGCTCCTGGATGTGTGTTTGGAAATGTACTCTGAAAATTCCTTCATCAGCACTCCAATCTCACTTCTAGTGTTTATATTGAAGGCTTTTTTTTGGGGGGGATAAATATTTAAATGTAGAAAAATTCAGTTTGTCATTATTTAACATACCTTCTCTTTCCCCCCCCACCACCACCTGTACAATGTCTCACCCAGTTTGGGTAGACCATGTACACTCCTGACCTCCACTGCACTATGTTTGATCCTTTCTCCTACTCAGATTGGTCTGGTTGTCCTGCCCTTGATGTGCACTAGCTCTGTGTGCTAATACATTGGCGTGGAGGGTAAAGTTTTTTTTAAGTAAAAAATATATTATTTTCCCCCAAATTCTGTTTGTGAGCTTTGAAAATTGAGTTTTAACAATGTACCAGAGCTGCACATCATCTGTAGAAGCAAAGTTTTTGTTTCTTTAAAAAAACAATGTCCACAATTCTCTCTGCTGTCCCCACCCCTGGATCTCAGATTGATGAAGACTTGAGTTCACCCATCACCAGCACACTTTGAACTGCCTTCAGCTCCCATGCTCTGCTGCACAAATTGGTTACTCAACCTACAGCAACAGTTGATAGTGGGATAGCAGTGACTCGATAAGGCCACAATGCGGGAATTGCCCATCCAGTAAGTGCTGCTCTTCATCAGTGCAGTGGACATCTGTCATGGGCTGTTGTGAGTGGGAGGAAATTCATCTCAGCAGGATAGGGTTGACCCAAAACACTACAAGTTTAAAATAACCTCAAAAGAATCTCTGCTTAGCAGCTTCTGAAGTATTTTTTATGTCCTCAACTTTGTAGAGGAATATCTGATGTACCTTGCTTTATCTGTTTTTTAATAAATTGTTTGCCAAGGAGTATGATTATCAAACATGTCAAACTACTAACTGATGTCAAACCACCATATTTCGTGTGCAGAGAGTTTGGTGATGGTTATGAGCAGCGGAGAATGAGTGACATGGAGTACAATGTTGCCTGGGGCCGAGGGGTTGACACTGGGATAAGCTTTACAGTCAGTAACTTGTGTTCGCAGTGTTACTTCTTGGTAGTCAGTGGCACAGTCTGTCAACTTGCAGTCATTCCTCCTTGCCGGTGATCCAACATCTACTGTGAGCCAAAACTGCCACTGCTGGCCTGCATTGGATGTTCTTCTGTACTAACCACTGCTGCACTTCCCCTGGGATCAGCAACTCTGAACCAGTTCCAGCTCAGCACCACTAAATAAATGGTGACATTCTTCCTGTAACAGACCTTGGCAAAGTGACCTGACAATCAATCCCAGTTATTCCATATACATAAACCATCTAAACGGTTAGATTCTACCCTGAAACTCACTCCTGGTAATCCCTTGTTTGAGGAATGGACATGGACATATTCCAGCTTTTCCTTGCTCTGCACACAATTTGCCCATTGTTTGATTGTGTAAATGTCTCCATCAGTCACTAACGATCTGTAGTTAGTACGAGTGTAATACTGCTCCCTCTTCTGTGTATAGGCCTGACGGCATCCTGGCAAAGTCGCCTTCACAGTGTGTGTCTGACATCACAACAGCTGCTTCTTTCCTTACAGCAGGGCTTTTACATCAGTCTTATAAATACATCAGCTGGGCGCTGGACAGGCAGCTTAGCAATGAGTGCACTCACGACAAACTGAAACGATTGATAGACTGTTAACTTGTAAAAGGAGAGGGGGTTTTAACAATTGGGACTGGTTGACATTGGAGACTTGGTCAAGATCGTCTTAACGATCTCTAGGAGTTGGTGTGTGTACTTGTCTTCTTAGCATGAACTGTTTTCTGGTAACGTGGAGAACCATCAAAAAGAAGTTATCAGAAATCCATCTTTCTTCTGTTAAGAATTTCCATCAAATACCTTTTCATTTTCTTCCAGTAAAATAGCCCCAAGTTTTAAGCGTATCCTCATAATGATATGCCCCTTAATCTTGGTATCTATGTGCATATACGTTACATCAATGGTTCTGGTGTTTGTTTTTGGGGTGCCTGGAATGACAGACAGTTCTCTAACTATGGCCCAATCAACATTTCGTTTAAATGCAACAACATTTTATATTTTTTATATTAACGAAAACCAAGAATTTGAGAAAAACTCCAATTTTCCCTTTTTAGGGTCTATGTAACTCTCATCTTTACATATCCATGTATCAATAGGCCGAGATCTTTGTTCCATAGCATCATTAAGAACTTAACTACTTTCTTCCCCTCCTCCCAGGAGATGTACCATTGCATATTTCACAAAATTCAACTGCATCTGCCACCTTTCAGCTCACTGCCTGACCACCGAGATCAACCTGCAATTTTCTGCATTCTTTCTCACATTTTGTCATCCTCCCTAACTTGTTCAGACAGCAATGCCCTTTTAACAAAAGGAAGGATGTAATTGCGAAATTATTTCTGCAAAAGTATATATTGTAATTTCCTGTCTCTGTCATATGATCTTCCTGTGGTGGGAGAATATTTTTTTTTACCAGAGAGACTGGGATTACAAAAAAGATAATTAAAAATGGATCCCAAATGTTGGATTAAATTACGTGAACCAAGATCCAAGTCTCCATCGAGAGGGGTCATTGTAATGATTATTGTTCTCTTCTTGGCTGTTTTAACCTGTCTGATGCTGGTAATTTTATTGCAAGAAATAAGTAGTCTGCGGACTGAACTGGCAAATGTCCACAAAGAGCTTCATGCTTTTAACAAAAGGAGAGAACATTTCAGGGTCATTTCAATGCAACCGGTAAGGAAACCTTTTTCACTTTCTCCTTCTGTAGAGCTTTCCTCAAAATGTTGTTATACATCCCCAGTTCTCAATCACTCTCTAAAGTGGTTTAACTTTACCTCCACTTGCAATGCTGTAAGCATGAAATTGTATTATTGGACGATGGTAGATACAATCACATGATATCGCTCCAGAATTCAACAGCTCACTCGACTGCACTCAGACATGCCTCAAGACAGAAAAATATTAGAGATATTTGGTCAGCAATCACACAGCATGATGCTTATCAATCCAGCAATGACCTACAGGTAAGCAAAGCTAACAACAAGTCTACACCTCCAGGTCTCTATCAGCTGTGCCTTGAATTACTGTAGACCTTGCACCTGGCTCTATAATTATAATAATAATAATCCTTGCATTTGATATAGCGCTTTTCACATCTTCCCGACGTCTCAAAGCACTTCACAGCATATACTGTAAAGTGAATTGACTGGAAATATTCCGGGCGAAATGCAGACCAATTTATTATATTTTTCTTCTTGAGGGACTATTATCAGGCGTGAAGAGTAACAAAACTTGCCCAATGTTTCACCCTGCCGGGAATCGAACCCAGGTCACTCGCTTGCTAACCACTGAGCTACAGTACTCTTACTGTTTATCTGGAGAAGTGATGCAATGTGTTTCAATATCTCATGCGTACAGCATTGCAAGTGGAGGTAAAGTTAACCAATTTAGAGAGTGATTGAGAGCTGGGAATGCACAACAACATTTGCGGCTCGGATCTCAGTCACACCAGGAAATGGGAATGCGAGGCAGACGCTTCTCAGCACTGCTGGAAGAACAGCACCTGAGCAGCCAGGGAGCTTGTGCTAATGGACACCATGAAAGAAAAGCAGTGGCATAGTTTATGCATGTACTGCATTCTGACTGAAAAGTGTGGTGCAGGAAGTATAGTGTGAAACGAGGGGATTAAATGCAAACTTAACTTTTTCTGTACCACATTTTGTTTGAAATCCCTCCTCCACCCATCCCCCCACCCCAGGGAGATCTGTCTGAAACACTGAATAAACAGAATGAGTCCATCTTCCAAAGAAAAGAAAAGTTATCTGGACTGAATAGAAACAGTGAGGAACTGAGAGGCCTGACCAGGAGAAGGAGAAATGTAGGACAGTGCAGACGTAAGTGACTGATCTGATCACATTCTCCTGCTCTTTCACTTCAAATGACTTAAATTTTTTCATTCACTGTATAAAGAAATGTCTTTGGCTCATAAATGTGTTTATAAAATTACTTATTTATAGTTAATTAGCAATTTATTAAAAGGAACCTCTTTATTTTCAATTTGGGGATAATTCATAAAGGTATTGTGTGTCAGCCTGGCTCAATTATAGCACTCTCACCTCTGAGGCAGAAGGTTGTGGGTTCAAACCCCACGTTGGGACTTGGAAATCATACAGTCTAACCTGACATTCCAATGCAGTGCTGTGGATGTGTTGCATTGATGGAGGCGCCGTCCTTCAGATGAGACTTTAAATTGAGGTCCTGTTTACCCATTCAGGTGGACGTTAAAGATCCCATGGCGCTATTTGAAAAGTGAGGGGAGTTTCTCCCGGTGTCCTGGCCAACGATCCCCCAAATAAATTGGTCGCTCACTCCATGGCTTTGAATCACAAAGCTCAAACCTTTCTGAAGTTTGAGCTGAATGCTTTGAAACATCTAAGTGCAAATTGTATTTGACAAACTTTTTTCTCTTTGTAGAACTATCATTCCTACAGCTGAGTCCCAATGCTGAGAGAAGCACAATCCAGCAAGGTAATAGTCACACTACCCAGTATATAGTGGAATCTGTTTTGTTGGCTCATGGTTCTACAAGTGGGCAAGTTTTCTATCCTCAGAAATTGCAGAGAATTGTGGCCAAGAGCGTTCATAGAGCGAGCTTTAAATCTTGAATTTGGTGCATTCCAATGAAACACTACACTTTTGAGGTTCGAGATGGGACCTTTGAGACGGTCCCTTACTTTGATGATAAGCAGCAGCAGCCTTGAAAGTGTTACGTGCAGTCTGTTTGGTTTTGGTTTAATGGTTTCCTGATAGAAATGTCAGTGACGGAAGTAAAAGGGGATATTGCACTACATTAAGTGGAAGGAGAGAAGTGTCAACTTGTAGCTGTTAGAAAATGTGAAGTAGTGCCATCGCTTGTAACTCCTCTCATCCCTTGCACACTGTAACAGGGCAACGCACAGCCAAGCTCTTCTCCATCAGTCCTGACAGCTACACTTGGCAAGTGTTGGAACATCCACTCAGCCAACTCATTTTTAGCATAATTTGGTTCTTGGTGTTCATTTTGTCTTCTTCATTTTTACTAAACAAATCAAATTAATTTCCTTCCTGTTGTTTAAGTAACGGGCTACACACTTTTTGCTGAGAGGGTGGTTCGGAGACTCTCTGGACCTGCTGATTGCCTCAGGGCTAAACTGTTGTACATTGACTTCTTCACTCAAAGGGCGGTGAATGTATGGAACTCACTACCCCAAAGGGCTGTTGACGCTCAGTCCTTGAACATATTCAAGACTGAGATAGATAGATTTCTTATTGCAAAAGGGACTAAGGGATATGGAGATAAGGCAGCGTCAGGTTATTAGCTGGAGTTAGATTAGAAGATCAGCCATGATTGAATGGCGGGGCAGAGGCTCGAAGGGCCGAATGGCCTACTCCTGCCCCTACATGTTATGTTATGTTTGCTGTTCATATTGATGGTGGCTTTAAGTTAGCCAATTTAAAAAAAACTTGTAAATTCACTTACTGTCCACTGTTTGTCCATTATCCAGATTGCAATAACATCTTTCCTTTTAAAATCTCTATTCATCATTGGGGTCCCTCAATGTTCTTCACATCAGAGGATTCAACATTTATTCCTTGGATTGTGGCTTCTCAAAGAGGTGCTGGACTGGAAAAAAAATTGAATAAAATACTTGTGAAAGAAGAAGGCTATTACAGTGTGTACAGTCAGGTGAGGAGAATGTTTAAAGCGGTGATGGCCTCTCACTTTGTGGGAGCTTTCATTTTAACTGAACTAAGATTTTCATACAACCGCTGGATTACAATAATAATTGTTCTTAAAAATAATTGCTATCTGATAGCAGTTGAAATACTTCAAAACTGGGACTTGGGTACCTGAGCCACGAGCAAAGGCTGCAGAGGTGGGAATGTTCTCCCTGGAGAGGAGAAGACTGGGGGGAGATCTGATGGATGTCTTCAAGATCCTAAATTGAACCAGGGGATGTAAGTTTGAGCTCAGAAAAATAGAGGTGTAAAGTCATTAAATTGTGTGTGAAAGTGAATGCAATGGACAACCCAGGAAACTGGTGAGGCAAATTGTAGGGGAAAATTGAAGAGGGAAATGGATAGGTATCTGGAGAACAAGTCTATATGAGGAGTTTGGGGCAGGATACTGTAGCGTTGTTATTTATTCAGCAAGTTGGACTTTTCTGATCCTGTACAATCCTAATCTACTGCTTGTGGAGTGCAAGCCCACAATGCCTGATATCTTTACAGGTTCTGTATTTTGATAACTGCATGGCCATGGGTCACGTTGTGCGGAGGAAGAAGTCTCATCTAGTTGGCAATGAACAACGTCTAACAACGCTTTTCCGTTGCATTCAAAACATGCCAAATAACACTGCCAGTAACACCTGCTTCACAGCTGGTAAGCCTGGCGCTTCTATTTACTACCCCTCTTTTCCAGAAAGTTGACTAAATAATAACCGTTATTCTGAATAGAGATTGTGATGCACTTATTTGAGTGAGGCTACATACCAATAAGTCTAGTGACCAATAGATTGCAGACAATCAACACACTAGTCGGTGGAGGTTGTGAGCGAGCAGTCTTTTGATCTATAGTATTTTGGAGGCTCTATTTTCAACTTGTTTAGCATTATTAAACCTCCAAATTATTGTATAAAAAGATGACCTGATTTGCTCTTGAACTCTTGATCAAATGACTGCCTTGTATTTACGGCAGGTACTCATTACTTTATATATAAACTATCTAAACCTTTCGATTGGTTTCTAATCCGTAACTCGCTCGCACAGATCCAGTATTTTATAAATAAACCATTTAATCTGTTAATTAGATTCTATTCTATGACATTCCTGTGTAACCTATAAAACCTTCTTTAAAACGTAATAATATATCCTTGAATTTGATATAGCGCCTTATCACGTTATTGAAACGTCCCAAAGCGCTTCACAGAATATATTGCAAAGTGAATTGAGTGTTTTTTGTGGGTGAAACATATCTCTTCAACATCAACATCTTTAAATCTCCCCTTCCCAACACAATGCTCACTATTGATTTGCCATAGACTTTGAGGTGATTTAAAAGAAAACTTATTGCAGCACTTTGTGGTTTAGGAATTGTGAAGCTTGACCAAGGTGATGAGCTGGAGCTCCTGTTGCCTTCTCGGCCCAATGCTCAGATCTCCATGGATGGGGACTCGACCTTTTTTGGTGCCATTCAAGTATTGTGAAGCGATGGAACGAAGTGGCCACCGCCACTGATGAGCAGAATGATATTGTCCGACCTGCATTTGCTCCGGTGCGTCTCCAGGTTTTCCTGTGCGCGGTGACAGAAACACTTCCCTGGTGCACAGGCACGCCAGACCTGCTATGGAGGGGAGGCGGCTTCTGTGAAACCATCACAAGTTGTGAAGATTTTGTGAAATTCAACCCAGCGACTCACTTTGCTAAACAATCTGTTTTAATCATTGCACAGCTCTGGTGGAGCCAAGCCCTGCCTTGGGTCAGATCTCCACTGAAGCCTTCTCATCAGAAGTGGAACTTCTTGTCCCACTTCTTACATGTTCTCTCTGTTTTTCACGGCAAGCATCAGATAATAAGGGTATGTTCCTGCTGGCTTGAGTGTTCCCATCAAAAGCTACACCTGTAATAGACGTTCAGAAATAATAGCTGATCTGTTAGCAGACTGTGGGAAGAGGTGATCGGTAGTGCTGCAACACCATTCTCACAATTCTGAATCTCTACAAAATAAAAATGTTGCAGAAATCTTAACTCTTTTATAATTTCTACTTTCCCTTTGTTATTGTCTGCCTTCCCTCGTTATGAAGTGCTTCCTTTATTAGTTTGTTTGAGGCGGGACTTGAAGGAGGCTAAGGAGGGGGTGAGGCGGAGTGATTGGGGGATGGAATTCCAGAGGTTGGGGGCAGAGTGGCCGAAGGCTCTCCGCCAATGGTGAGGGTGTGAGTCGGGGGACGTGGAGCAGGCCAGAGCCGGCTGAGCGGAGGGAATGGGCGAGTTGGTAGGGGGTTAGTCCAGCGCCTTGGGACGTCCTCCCGGCGTGAAAGGCGCTATACAAATGTAATTTTGTTGTTGTTATCGGTTGGACTGACCGTTCCCATGTTCTTTGCCCACGTTGTCTTCAAATGTAAGATTGTGCAGCACTTTTGGAAAAATCGTTAAATGGAATCGGTGTTGACCAGAACAGCAGAAAACTGGCTTCCAAATTAAGGCTGAATTTTAAGAAGTTTCCAAAATTCTCCACGATCTTAAATTTTAAGATAATGTCCTAAAGCGAAAACCACGAGAGAGGTTGAGCCTCTGATTTCAGGCCGTCTCTGTAGAGTTTTGCAGGGAACGGATTGGACTGTGACTGAGAGACAGTATACTTTCATCCTACCCTGTCCAGACTCTAATGTGCCAAACTACTCCACCACTTGCTTCTCCTAATAAAGTTAGGACTATATTATAAGATGGGACAGAACATAGAGCATTCTGCTGCATTTGAACTGTGTGGATCGTGAAAAGGTTAATGCTGGAATTCTGTCAAAACCCTACAGTGAAACGTACTGGAGGCCTGTCAGTCAGTCAAACTTTCCTGAGTTACTCTGGGACTTAAGACCGTGTAAATCTGAACTTTCTCACACATGCTCACGCAGACTGCACAGAATGTACCGTAACTGTCAAAGAAATAAATAGATAGGTTTATTTGTACGCCCTGGACTTGTGCCGAACGTGGATGCGTTGGTCAACATTGGTTACGTGTGAGACGTGGGTCCTGAACCTGGGCGAGTTGGATCTACATAGCAGTGGATTAATACTATGCCCCCGCCCTCCACCCTCACCTCAGCCATGTTGCAGGATGGCACATAGACTATCTAGTTCTGAGAAGTAAGGAATTTACTCTCCTGCATCCCCCCCCCAACACCCCCACCCCCTCCTTTCCCAGCACAACCACATAATCCGAACCCAACGTGAGCAGGATTTTAAGGACTGCTAGTATTTAAGATTTAACTCCTGACAATTCGTGCTCTCTTCCAATTTATTCACATAACCCCCACTCAACCCCCCTGAGTTGAGTGCATTGCTCGTATCTCCTACTGGTTGGTACAAAGGTGGCACGAGGAGGGGAACCTGACGACTTTGAATGCCTTCCTGAAATTGCCAAGCGCAGCACAATAAGCCTGTGGATCAGGAGGAGGCCAATCACCTGAAGAGCCTGTTCACTTACATTGATGGCAGATCTTTATTCACCTTTTCTCCATATCCCTTGCTTTCCCAAGTATCTATTTCAATCCCTTTAAAACATCTAATTTTATTCTGTATCCGGGGCCTTCTGGAGCCCGAGAAGTATTTCCTAAATTAAATTAAATAGAAATCAAACCTGGCATCTGACCCTTGCCATCACAGGCTGTGGTTTCAGAGCAGGGCAGTGTCAAAGACTGATCTTTGATAAAGATTGTGCAATGGTTAATAGAACAAACACTATAATTCCACAGTGTGGCCATAGGGTGGCGGTAATACAACATCGACACAACAACAATCCCTGTCTTGACAATACAGTAAACAGGCTCCAGTTAGGAAGCTAACAAATACATCTAATAATAATCCTTGCATTTGATACAACGCCTTGTCATGTCTTCGAGACCTCAAAACGCTTCACAGGATATACTGTAAAGTGTAGTGACTGTATATTTTGTGGGGGAAACGTGACAGCCAATTGTGCACAGCAGTGTCCCACAAAGAGTCGTGGATTGAATGACCAATTTATTTTTATTCATTTAGATATGTGGCAAAACTGATGCTGGTGACTGCTGGAAGTACTCAATCACTGGGCATCAACACGTGAATCCCACAACCTGATGCCAGCCAATCCAGGTTCAGCAATTAAGAGTAATTCTTATTATTATTAAGAGTAAATGAGCGTTGGTGAAAGGGAACTGCACATGCAAAGGGTCGCTGTTAATACACACAGGCGCAGGGTAATGCTCTGTGCGATAATCTGCATAAAAGTCTTTAATGAAAAAAAGGCAACCGACTGAGATGTCTGTATTACACTTTCGTATTACTTGTTTACTTTATCTTCTGCCCGTATAATGTTTCTGTTTCGCCCCTCTCTTGTTAGGCCATTCAACCCGGTGTGGGGTTTCTCACTCAGCAGGGTGGGCGGGCTGAATAGCCCACGCTTATCTATTTCTTCCACATAGTTCATTCCTTGAAATCCGTCTTGTTGCCTCTGTATTGCAGCTCAGGGCTTGGGTGGCCCCCAATGTGTTGCAGGAGCAGAGTTATCTCAATGAAACCTGACCACAGCTAAGTGGCACTCTCCAGTTCAGCCTGACATGCAGTACTCCTAATGCAGCTGGACCAATGCTTTTCATTGCCCTATTGCAGCCTGATCACAGCACTGCTTGGAATAGAACCCAAAGAGTTTTAGGATCATCTTTGTGCCAAGACTACGCCTGGTCTGCTCTGCTCAGTACAAATCCAATCCACAAGGCATTGCATGGCTTTCAGATAGGAACCGTTATGTGTCATTAACAGTTTCCTTCATATTTCCTGAAGCGGAAATCAGTTAAGGCTACAGCTTCCGCTTGTAACTCCAACAGTTACTTCAGTGCGAGTGAAAGTCCATGGCAGGAAACCTCTTGTTATTTAATGCTATTTAACATCTCTTATTTGTTGCCCTCTGACCTGGAGCAGACAAACCTCTGACTGTCTACAAGGTGCAAGCAAGGAGAGACAGAGAAAAGAATGAAAGATTTTCCTTGATATTGCGCTACAAAAGGACAACCTGCCTGTCTTATTTTAATTGTTAATGTGTCTCCTCATTTCTACAAACTGATCGTGAGAAAGTTCCTGATAAGTATATACTACTAATAATAATCCTTGCAGTTGGTATAGCGCTTATCATGTCTTTGAGATATCTCAAAGCGCTTCACGGGATATACTGTAAAGTGAATTATATACTTGGTAGTGTTTCCACCCCTTCCCAAATCCCAATCCCAGACCTCTGCTCATTCTCTAATTGGCTGCAATGTTTTCAAAATGACGAACGGTTTGAAGAGGGTAAATGGAGAAAGACTAAATTCCACATATCAGTGAGTCGGGAACAAGAGGGCAGAAATCCCACATTATCAACCGGAAGAAAAAAAAGGGGGAAACCAAAGATATTTTTATACAGAGGCCAAGACCATTAAAATAGCATCCACTAAAAAGAAAGGGAATTTGGTTAGTATCGGGCGAAAAAATAAGAGGAAATTGTACTGGGGAAAAGTAAGGGAATGTGATTAGAGTTGAGCTTGCCAGTGGGGGAGCGAGCACCAGCTCAGGTACGATGGGGGAGAGTGGGTAATGGGATTAGAGTAGAGAGCTCCAGGGGGGAGTAAGCATCAACTCAAGGGCTCAATTATCATAATAACTGTTACTTTACGTTCATGATTTAACTTTTAAAGTGTCCAAAACCCTTCTAGAAATCTACTTCTGTACGTTCCCTATCTTGTATGCTCCACGTAACCCTGTAAAGCTCTCTGACACGGTGCTGCGAGCTAACTGTTGAAACTGCACCCCCATCCTTCACACCAGGCTGTTATTATTCCCTGTCTTGCCAATGTGGCTCTGATCTCGCCGCAATTCACTGGCACTGACTGGCACACAAGATCTGCCAAGATTCAACCACAACTCATACAGCTGGCATCTTCAGTTAGCCAAGGAACTGGGAGGATGATTTAATAGTCAAGTGGGGTTGAGAAGCAATCTGTTCAGGGTCTGCGGCAAATTAGGTTTTCTTATCAATAGGGCAGTGACACCGATGGGAGGTTAAAAAGGCTTGAATCCTGGAATGGGTTGTTCCAAAACGTTCTGCCTCTACGGGTGTGGTGTGTCTAGGTGTGTGTGGGGCGGGTAGCAAACCCTATCCCTACATCAGCCCTGGTATTTTCATGCTGCAGGACACCTTAGGTTCCCTTACAAAATACACAGTCACTACACTTTACAGTAAATCCTGTGAAGCACTTCACATGAGGAGAGCTATATCAAATGTATGGATTATTTTTATGGTATAACCATTGCTTCTAGTGCGGCGTGAATACATGTGATAATAATAATAATAATAATCCTTGCATTTGATATAGCGCTTTTCACGTCGGGAGGACGTCCCAAAGCGCTTCACAGAACACACTGTAAAGTGAATTGACTGTATATTTGTGGGCGAACGCGGCAGCCAATTGCGCACAGCAATGTCCCACAAACAGTCGCGGATTGAAAAAGACCAATTTATTATTGTTTTTGGTTTTGGAGGGAATATTATTAGGCTCTGTGTGGAGTAAGGAAACTTGCCCAAGGTTTCGCCTTGCCTGATGCAGGTTTTGTTTGTTTTCAAAAGTTTCGGACTCTTCAGAGCAGACCGTTAATAATAATAATCATATAATAATAATCCTTGCATTTGATACAGGACCTTATCACATATTCGAGATGTCTCAAAGCTCTTCACAGGATGTACTGAAAAGTGAATTGACTGTGTATTTTATGGGCGAAACTGTATATCTTGACATAACTTTGTGTGTCTGGAAGCTGACCTGCTATGTGTCAGGGTACCTCGATCAGCTGAGAGGTAACAAGGTCAGCACGGTTTGACTCCCTCTCTCTGCGGAAGCAATCAGTGTCCCAGCAATCAGGGTCCCCCTGGGGCAGTCTCACACATCAGCAGGGTGCTTCAGAAAGGCTGTGTCGTAATGTCCAATTATCCCCCTTTGGCTCATTATTGACCT